TGGTCTTCTGTTGCTGTCATGTGTTTCGCTGCTATTCGAGCAAAATGGCAGCATCGCATTCTTCATTTCCATCATAGAGTTGAAGTTCGTTGTCGATTGACAAAAATTCTTCGTAATTTTCAACTTGTTTCAGCTGCACATTCTCGCCGTCATTTTCATTTACAATCACCATATCTACATCCAACTCCGAGACAATATGCTTAAAGCCACAGTGAGGAAAACCGTTCCGAAATGTCGCACTGCTCATTTTTCGCCAACTTTCGGCCACGAATGTAACGGCTTGCAAAATGTTGACCTATGCACTGATTTCTCCGGCCGTCGAGGATGAGGTCAGCAAGCCTTCCTCAATTGATTCAAGGATGTAATTCACCAATCTTGAACGATAAAAGGTCTTCAAATTTTTTATGTTGCCCATGTCCATTGCCTGTATCAATATGTGGTCTTGGGAGGCAGAAATTCCATCTGGATATTCTTCAAGAAATCCACATTTGAATGTGCTGCACAATTGTCGAGAAGTAGTAACACTTTTCTCGACTGGCGTTGTAGCTCTGTGTCCCAATCCTTCACCCATTCTTTAAAAAGTGTAGAGCTCATCCATGCATCTCTATTCGCACGATACACAACTGGTAAACTGTCCATTCTGAGTCCCTTAAAGCAGCGAGGCTTGGCACATTTTCCTATAACCATCAACTTCCTCTTGTCTGTTCCGGACATGTTTGAGCAGCACAAGACAGTTACGCGATCCATTGCTTTTGTGCAGCCAGAGGGAGTAACATGTTTGTAACTTAAGGAGCCGTTCGGTGTAGCCCTATAGTACAACCCGGTTTTATCAGCATTATAGATGTCATCTGCTGGAAATTTTTCAAGAAGATCTGGTAGTTTTGTTGTTTTCTATTCTTCAGCTCGAGCGCTATTGGCACTTTCTTTCTCACCATGTGGTTTCTTAAATTTTACATAATGTCTCGATTTTCATCAAGACAACCAGCCGTCCGTAGCTATAAAATCTTCGTGGCCCAGCATTTTAGCGAGTTCTTCTGCTTTGGACTTTAACATTGGGCCACTTACTCGCACGACTCGTCCAGTAACAAAGGCAAACCAATCATTAAGGGCCTCATCGACGTCTGGATCCTTGCCTTCACGTTTCCGTTTTTGGGAAGTACCTCGTCGTCCTTCACATTGTGCCCATTCATCTCGCAGATCTTTCTCTTGTTTTATCAGGCGCGATATTGTAGATTTTGGCAAGCAGGTAATTTCCGCCAATCGACGCTGACTAGTGGTTGGTCCCCGTTTCTTGATCTGATCTAGGAAAGGAACCTTCTCAGCTAACATCAAGTCCCGTCGTGGCATTTTCATAACATGCAACAAGACATGCACAGTTCACTGAGGTGAACTCGAGTCTGTCTCCCGAGTTTTCTATGGTTGACCTAGCCACCTGCTGTCCTATGATTTGCCGGACCTGTGTGTCCGGGATCACTTGCCGTGCTCGAGAGTAGGCCCGCAATGCGGGCTCAGGGCATTCGGCTCAATGGACGTGCAGTACATCGATCGAGCGGTTAACGACATGTGAAGGAGCGTGTGTCTTCGCTCCGCCTACAAGTTTTGGAAACTACAGTCAGTTTTGGGCGGTTCTGAAGCCAATTAGATAGATGTGCCTCAAGGTTGCCACAGTTCAGTTTATCCAAAGGCCAACTCGGATTACCGTAACTGATTGATACGCTTTCTTGCCCGACATAGGAACTGTGGGTTTAGTCCAGACATCCAGGCACAGAACTTGATTTTAACACCTCCGTTACCTGCCACCTTCTATCGTGTGGTCCGATTAAGCGGAATTCCGGTCCTAATAAGCGGCTAAAATTAGGCTAGCGTAATAGGATTCGTTTCGGTTCTTCAGAATTTGGCCCGAATAAGCGGCTGGTCCTATTAACCGGTGGTCCCATTAACCGGAATCGACTATATATATATATATATATATATATATATATATATATATATATATATATATATATATATATATATATATATATATATATATATATCTTGTCGTTTTAAGTGATTGGTTGTTGCTTGATATCCCCGGTGTGGTTGCGCTTGATGTGCATGTTGACAAGGTGTCTACCTGTCTATTACCCACTACCTCGTCCATATTGGCTCCAGGAGACAGTTTGTGTTTGCTGGAGGGACGGCGTGCACGGTGCTTGTGGCCGTAATACGCTCTAAGAGCGGTTCCATGCATTCAGTGTGGAGCGGGCTACGGTCCAGCCACCGCCTTGTGTGCTCCTGATTCGCCAAATACAGCATGCTAGTGTTTGCCTGTGAAGGAGTGTGGGCCGTCTCCGTTGATGATAGGTGGCTCCCATCCACATGCTTCCCATTTTTATTCCTCCGGGTTTACATTAGATGGGTGTGTGGTTGGAGCTGTGGATGGTGCAACGCAAGCCACCCATGGTCCCTGTGTAGGCGTAGGCGTTCTTTGGCTTGCTACAGTGATAGAGTAATCCAAAACCGGATGGCGCCAACCATACTGACTGCAGCCACTTGTGTTGTTTGCTCGACCGCGGGCTTGTGTGAAAAAGAGGATTGGAGGCTAGCCGATGATGTGGTGAAAGGAATTGAAGTCGCTCTCTTCGAAGTTAACGTCGGTTTTTTCCTCGTGTCAGTCAGGCTGCGGTCCGTAGGACTGTGAACACATTTATTTGGGGACACCTGTTGAAATGTCAAGGAGCTAGTCCCAATGACCTATACCTTTTGACTGCCTTTATCACCTCTCCCGCTTTGCTTCCGTCCATAACCGCGACATGACTCTGGATACGTACTACGGAAAAGTAACATTTCATAAATGGTCTGTCTTTATGTTTCTGCCCCCCCTCTTACGATTGTTACTGTATTGCACTGCGGCACACTAGCTGAGATGTTACTCACGTGTGGATGATGTGTGTATATGTGATGTTGATGTTCTGCGCAGGAAACTGAATGTTGCGATACACTGGGTGGAACACGCTGTTGAATTCGGGAAAGGTAACTATCGCGGGCCTGTTTTGCGCGTGGCTTCCGCAACACATGCTGCAGAGTATGGTTATGATCCTTATGCAACAACGTAGCATCTAGGAAGTAGCTTATTATTTCTGTCGGGATCCTCCTTCTTCGATAATGCGACGTTAGGCTGATACCTGCGGCTAGCGCAGGCCGTGCGACCGCCATTTTAGGTTACTTCCAGTACGATCTATTCGCCTTGGTTTGTCGGGATTCTTTCTTCCTTCTCAACTTGTTCATACTGGTAAGTCAGCACTTTGCAGTAAACCTCACCCTTATCATTATGCACTGTGCGTACAGGGAATCGGGACCGACCACACGAACACAGCTGGGAATTGTGTTCGCGTTTTAAAACTCAACTTCCACTGCAGCTTCTAATTCAAAGAGCATGGTTCGGCCTTCATCCTCTGGACAGACTGGACAACGCAAAGCCTTCCATTAGCACAGGCCAATTGAATCGTTACAGAAAGCGCTCCGCTTGACGGAATGAACGTCATTCCTTATTGTGTATGCGGGCGCGGTGCTGTCTTTGGTTGTCTGACTGAAGGTCGATTTCTCGGGACCATTAGCGTTAACTAGCCCTGAGACTCTGCGGTGTTTACCAATTGTTACCATTTCTTTGCATTACGAGTACATTGTGCTTCTCAGCAAGCGTGCATGAACCTCTTCAAATCACGTCTCATACCCTATTTAGTCGTATGGTACCCGAGAGTCTAATGTCCTCTGTGGCGACTTGCCGTATCTTGCTGCGGATAAATTAGCGACACTCGATTTACTTAAAGCAATTTTGTTAATACTTAGCACGTAGAACATCCTGCCATGGTTGTCAAACCGCAAGTCAAGAAAGCTTCTCGGTTGTCAGTCGTGAACGTTTGCTATCCAAGTCTATTATTTTTACGGATAACCGGTGGCTACGAAAGCATGAACCGAATCGGGGCACATGTGTTCGAAAATGGGCGGCACTCAAAGATAGAACCGCACCGCTTAGATCTTGCCACAGCGTGGTTCATTTGTTCAGCTGATCGCCGGACACCTTGTAGCACATCAGTGCACACAGTCTTTGAGATTACTACTGCATAGAGACATTTTATGTCCGGCACACAATTGTAGGAAATTCTCTTCATTGTTGACATGTTTGGGATTGGGTTGTCTTTCTACATGACTGTATTTTTGTATATCACGGCAGTGTTGACCGTCTTCCCTAATTTCTTCTCTGCTCTGCGGTGTGCATTAGATCAAGCGGTTTTTTTGGAAACATCGATTTCTGTTGTAAGTTGGTATGAACCATTCTTAGCTGGTCATTGTGGCACGTGGTGTAGAACAGTGCCAGTGCGTTCCTACTAAAAGTTCTTTTTTTACCAGGCAGTGAAAAGTTAAAGTGGTCAGATTTTGCAAAAGTGAGCACCAAGCTATATTTATCCTGTGTATAGAGAACCAGGAAAGCGTTTGTCTGTCATTGACCAATTAGGTAAGAATGGCTCCCCGGATTTCAAGTAACATCAGCATGTGGATTTCATTGGCCCGAGAGGTACACACATCGTGGCGCCAAGTTAAGATCCAACATGTCTTCGAATATGCAGTCCTCCTCTATATGCGTTCGCATGTTGTGTAACGTCGTGCACAGCGCTTGCTGATGCTCTATGAGGCAGTCGGACCAACTCATATTGTTCACAGGCATACTCCATACTTATTTTGCGGACATCCCTTTCTATGTATGGCACTAAATTGGTGTGCAACAGCTGTCTGTAGGTGTAGTTTGCTTTGGTACTCCGTACCCACTTTGGGCTCAGGTGCATCGGCCTTGTTTCGTATGTCTACCTGATTACTACTGGTCTGCTCCACTATTTGTCCACTTTGAACATAACATGTCTACCACTTCGTAATGTGCACCTTTTCATCTGTTGATTGTTCCATGACATCTCCACCTCCTTTCAACGTACTTTATCTGTATCTGTTTTTTTTGGTTCCAGGAGTTTATTGCTGTTAGTCAACTCAAAGGCACCACTCAAGGAAAAATCCTATGCTTTTACGGCCCCCCTGGAGTTGGCAAAACAAGTATAGCCCGATCAATTGCCCGTGCTTTGAATCGAAAGGTAAGCTGCCTTGTTTCTTTAACAGGTATCCCTGTTTGCCTCTACCTCGTTTTTGTGTTTGTTGAACAGGTTTGTCGTGATACTTTGCTCGCCATTCAGTCCCTTATTAAAATCAAACTTGATATACCAGTTCCTTTCTCCTCTGTGTACTGTGTATGGTTGTGACGCTGGTTTTTCTTGCTTGGTTTAGTCTCTGGTCACCCCATAAAACACACATTTACGGCCTGCAGAATATACCACTCTCTTCGTATCTTCCCTCCCAATTATTGTTGTGTCGCAATCCAGTTCGGTCCAGCCATCGAAACTCCACATTGCCAGTAGGCTCTGCTATTTTGCGAGCATGTTTCTGTAACTAGCATCACTCTTTCTTTCCCTCCTTATTTATCAAAAACTTCTAATTCAATAGATTTGTGCAGCAGCTGTTATTGCGTAAGCAGAAGACTGCCAAACTTGAGCTCCACAGGACTTCTTCCCATGCTTTTAGTCACTATATCTCGACAACCAAACAATGCTATGTAGGCCCGCACGTAGTGAGGCACTTTGTTGACTTTATAACATGTTTCACGCCGCACAGCCTCATCTGGGTTGCTTCAAGACTGCTAATAAGACGCTCATCTAATTCTCTTCGGGATAGTGGTCGAAAATTGATCGCTCGCACAGACACGGTGTTCCAATGGAACCCATTGCCGCAGGAGTCGTATGTCGTTTTTATCGTATTAGCGGGCACCATTTCACGTGGATTAGGCATTGAAGCTCAACAGAATCATCTGGCACTCGAAAGCACAGCAATAGCCCATGGGAATATGTTTCCATCATTTCGGCTACATTGCTACATAGAAGCACTCTTTCGAGCTTTTTGGCAAGGTGCGCAACTTCGAACTTTCACCATTGCGTATAAAATTGCAGCACTGATTACATGTTAGTGACTTCTGGGTTTGTATCATGAACTACGACCCGTATAGCATAAGCTCGAAGTGCTTTTGCTAACCTTCGCCACCTATGGTGGCGACACGACATTACTCTCGCCCTGAAGGGTAGAGTGTACAATGCAGCGGTACGTTCGACCCTACTGTACGGCGGACATGAAGAGGCTAGTTACGTTCGACCACCGATGCCTTCGCAGTTTGCCTCACATCTGGTGGGAACACCGCGTATGTAACGAGCGTGTTCGATGCCTTGTTTACGGCACAGTAAAAGGAAGTGAACCGCACCAGGCTCCGACGGCTGGGCCACGTGTTGCGCATGCCAGCCCATCGACTTCCGCGACGTGTGTTGTTTGTGCGCCAGGGGTGTAGATGGAAGAAGAGGAGGGGAGGCCAAGCGATGACTTGGTCCAGAGGAATGAAGGTCCTCACTTTGGAGCTGGCCTCGGTTAGAGCGTCACGGCTCCCTGGTTTGAGTCTAAAAGACAGTGAACACGTTTGGCTGGATACACTTGCTGACATGGCAAGGTGCCCACTTCAGTGGCGTTCCTGCTGTGAGTTTCTATGTCACCCCATCCCTTTTAGCCTTCTCATCCACCTACCATTTCATTTCGTAGCGTAAAACATAATAATTTTTCTTTTTGTCAAGTAGCCGGCTGGTAGCTTACCGGAACGATACCCAGCCGTTGCTGCTAGCTCAGCTGGCATGCAACTGTTGTAGCTACAGTCCTTCTCCTTTATGTAGTGCGGCACAGTAGCTGAGGTGTTTTCAACCTCTATCTGACGTGTATAATCATGATGATGATGATGATTACGTCCCGGTTGGTTAACCGAAATCCATTGAGGGCCATACTCTGTGCTTTCGCACCGAGCATTCATGATACATTTTAACTTCTGTCATCCTCCGCAGGAAATCTTGAGGTCCTGGTCTCTCCTACTTATACATAACTTTATCCGCTACGCAAAGCGAATTTTTGCAATCCTGTCGATGTATTTATTGTGAAATGACCTAGTCCTTACTGAACTCCTGGGCTACATTCTCCACGAGGGAACTATGATAGCAACGGTCAATGGGTAACATCGGCAGATTTGTTCTGTTGACCAGAGGTAGGCTAGTTTTGGTACGTATTGACAAACAGAGCAATGGACCAGCAGCCCAATCTGAGTAGTGCATCTGTTGACTCCTCCTCTTATGATCAGTATAACTCTTACTAGATTATCTGAGCATCTATTGATAGTCTCCTTTCGTCCGTGAATGACAGCGGTTGTTTCTCGGTTAAAGTAAGAATAATGTCACTTCATTGCGACCAGTGTTCGTGGAAGGTGTTCACTGCGACACTTGCTACTGTCCAGCAATTTCTGCTGCAAAATTGCTCCAATGTTGTGAGGCGACGTTACGCAAGTGAGGACATCCGGCTTTCATTGATCACGATACACATGAACATCAGCTGCTACCAAGAATTTCATGATTACATTGAACACATTTTCATGGACCCTGTCTCATTTTCCTGTTCGACTTACTGGTGTGGATCAGAGGCTGATGTTTTGAACAGTGGGCAATTGCATCACTCTCTTCGCATCTTGCCCCTGTCTATTCATATTTTCGATTGTTGAGACTTGAATCAGCGCTCTTGCCCTTTCTTCTAGCTCATATATCCCCACTCCTGACAATGTATGCCTAATGCACACTTCGGACATGTTGGGGTCTCCACGCCCGTTCCTTTAAATTCCCCTTCCAATTACGTTCTCATTACGAGTGAATAATGTGATATTTAACCTTGTATTACTTGATTTTTGATCCTTTTTGTAGTATAATTTTTAGTATCTTATCACTTTGTATTGCGCCACATTGGCGGAGGCATATTTCTCACCCTCGTCAGTGTTATAATCTTCACAGATTTCCTTGTGTTGCGATTTTTAACGCGGGCGCAATAGCGCTTGACAGACTTAACCTTACCTTCCTGAGGCTGTTCACGCTTATTTTTATCTCGAAGAATGTAAGATACAGTACATGCTTTACAAAATTTATGGTTTTAGCATCAGAGGTACAATGTTATGCTTCAACCTTATTAGTTTAATCTGTACCAATAAATCGTCTTTTCACACAACTAGGGATAATCAAATTTCAACCTGGGTTGATGAATCGGCCGTCGACATAGTGCCATATAGATGTTTACGCCTGTCGCGATCAAATGCACTTAGACTCTTTTCTCATCATGTGTTTGTAGCACGAGTTGCGCAACAAAGTTCTCGAGCACCTCCATTATTTTCCAAGTGTAATTTTGCAATTGTTTTTTGCGCGCGCTCAATTTTGCACTCAAGTTAACGCACCCCGTCGTATTGGAGTAACTGGGGAACTATGGAGGTGTCACGAATATTTTTCCTACGACTAGTTTGCGGGTGTAGGTTATAATGATGTTGATGTAATTCTGGTTCAATGTTGCAACCAGACTGGACCTTAACCGCAGACCGACAATAGCTGTGTTCCTCGATTACAAGAGTGCGTTCGATTTAGTCGATCGATCGATTCTGTTCGAAATACTTGCGCGGAAAGGTGTTCCCACGAAATATGTGAACATCCTTCGTGCTATATACTCGAACACTACAGGCTGCGTCAGGGTCTGCGGTGTCCTATCGGATAGCTTTTCGACTACAAGTGGCGTTCGTCAGGGTTGTCCGATTTCCCCATTTCTGTTCAAGTTGATCGTGGATTCTATCATGGAGTATTCCTTAACGGAATCCAACGATGTAGGCGTTGAAGTGCTGCCTGGGGAAATATTAGTTGACCTAGATTATGCGGACGATATCGTCTTACTTTTCGACGATTTTGCGACAGCGCAATCAACTCTGATTAGCCTGTCCAGAGTGGTCCCATTATTTGGTATGCACTTCGCACCTTCAAACTGCAAGGCGTTGCTGCAGGACCACCAGCCACCTGATAACCCCTTGGTACTTGCTAACGAGGAACTCGAGGTGGTTGATCAATTCACTTATCTTGGCAGCTGCATCAGCAATGATGGGCGCATAAAAACTGACGTGAGCTCACGCATTGCAAAAGCCAGAGCTACCTTCTTGAATCTGCGGCATCATTGGCGACAGAAGGGAGTTTCCCTTCATCTGAATGGCCGTGTATACAAGGCCACCGTGAGGACCGTTTTGCTCTATGGTAGTGAGACTTGGCCGCTTCGGTCTGAAGATCTGAGGCGCGTTCAAATCTTTGTTCATCGTTGTCTGCGAAGCATTGCTGGAGTCGGATGACACCAACGTGTCCGCAACGATGATGTGCGTTGGCGAGTACTAGGTAGTGATAATCATGCTAGCACCCTGGAACAACAGATAGCAGTGAATAAGTTGCGTTGGCTCGGGCACGTGCTACGCATGCCTGGTCACCGCTTACCTAGGAGGGCCTTGTTTAGTCTACCAGGTGTAGGATGACGCAAGGCTCCAGGTGGACAGAAGTTGACTTGACAGCGGGAAATGAAGTCACTGACAACTAAACTGGGTGCCGTTGGTCCGTTTCTCCTTTCGGGCTGGAGTCCACGTGACTCACCTTGTGCTGGGCTCGAGACTTTGCAGGACACGGCTCGCAACCGACACTAGTGGCGCGTCTGCTGCCGTCACCTAATCGGATTGTCTGTTTAAAGTGTATTTGGTGCTGAGTTATCTGCGGGATAATGGCTGATTATGACGCGTGGCAGTGAAAGCTGCAAGGAAGCTGTCTCGCCGATGCCGCCCTATCTTTGCACGATAGCCAGCTGCTTGTGACGGTATGTTGCCTACACAAGGTGTAGGCGCCTTGACCCTGATTGTTTGCTTAGGACATTAAGGTTTTCAGGTAAGTCCCCTTTCTCTCCCTCTCCTTAATCTTTATTTCATAGGTCCTCATGGTTGTATGGCAGCGAAGCATCAGTTCAAATGGCTGATGTACTGCTATTGATGATGATGATGATAATGATGATGAGGGACCTTAACGTGATGCGACAGTTTGCGTACCTCTTTGACCCATTGAGCCATACTGGGTGGTGCCCCCGGGCCCCTTGAGAGCTACCCCTACCAGGTTGGTGAATGGTTAGAAGT